GCCGATATATAAAAACTGTCAAATATCGGCCTTGGCGATATATCGGTTGACCACTAATATATATCATAGAACTTTTATTAACGAAAAAAAATAAAAATACACCATGCTATATGCCTAATATTAAATAACAAACAACTCACACAAAGTTTAAATAGGTATAAAGGCAAGGCTACAAAATTGAAAATCAGCAAACACTGTGGAACCAAATAAATAAGAAACGAATAAGAAACGCAAAAAGAATAAGAAAGCTTGGAGGCACGGCATGAACCTTGATGCAAAATAAAATAAATAAATTACACAAAGTTTAAATATAGTACAAATCAGCAAACACTGTGGAACCAAATAAATGAGAAACAAATGTTTAAAAAAAAATCCAAAATCACCTTAGATAAACGGCAAAAGTCAACAGGCTTTTCAAAACCCAAAATATTGCAAAACAGGTGCTTCAACCCTCTACGGACACCTTGGCAATTGAATCGGCATTGGCTAGTACATTTTTTAGTTTACTCACCAGACTGATATATATATATAAACAGACTAAAATAAGCTGCAGTCAAATGACAGATGAGCAAAGCTAACATGATGATCGATTGAGTGTGATGTGAACTAAATCTGGTGCAAACATTGATTTCAAACATGCCACCCAAAATGCATCATATTCACATCAATAGAGATATAAACAGCGTCCTTTAGCCAGTGATTCCCACTGGATCTCATGTGTCTGCAGCTGAAGAAAAGCAATCAGGAGCAGCAGCACAAACTAGAAGCTGTTTCAGAAACTTACTGTACTGCTCAACCGGCCACTCAATGACATATATAAAAGAAAACAGACAGGAACATGTATAATGATGAAAGCCAAAATATTAAATGTCATGGATGAATATTTATGGAGTAATACACTATTTTGTAGAGGGGGGGGGCAAAAGGGCAATTTTCACCTGAGATTCAGAGCCAAATTACAGGGGGTTAAAAATGACTTCAGAAAGATGGCAGCATCCTAATGTTATTTTTACACAGCGATTGGTAGCTCTGTTAGTAAAATCTGTTAACTTTATTGACTCTATTCAGCGTCAGCTGGTGTATTCTGAGTGACACTATCTGTGATGGACAGAGCCATGGATCAGTCAAAGCTACACATACAGCTGATTTACACCAACACAGAACAACATCCTAAAGAACAGCCTCGTTCAGACGGACTCTCATCCACACACACACACTCACTCTCTCTCTCTCTCACACAAACACACACACACACACACTCTCTCTCTCTCTCTCTCTCTCACACACACACACTCGCTCTCTCTCTCACACACACACACTCGCTCTCTCTCTCACACACACACACTCGCTCTCTCTCTCACACACACACACTCGCTCTCTCTCTCACACACACACACTCGCTCTCTCTCTCACACACACACACTCGCTCTCTCTCTCACACACACACACTCGCTCTCTCTCTCACACACACACACTCGCTCTCTCTCTCACACACACACACTCGCTCTCTCTCTCACACACACACACTCGCTCTCTCTCTCACACACACACACTCGCTCTCTCTCTCACACACACACACTCGCTCTCTCTCTCACACACACACACTCGCTCTCTCTCTCACACACACACACACTCACTCTCTCTCACACACACACACACACACAGTAAATGATATGTTGGAGAAGCACTGCTTCTGCTCCAGGGTGAGTGTGTTTGTTCCTTCTTCTCACGGCTGTCTATAAAAATAAAGCTGCGTCTGATCTCAGTGAGGAGTGTTTCATAAGACAACACACACACGCCTCGCTCCTCTTTATCCACGCATGCAGACGAACCAAACTGAACCGAACCCGGAGCACCTAATCAGCTCATCACCGACAGCAATGAACTACAGCTGCAGATGAGACAAGATTTCACACACACACACAAAC